CCCCCCCTTTGCCATTTTTAATTGGGGTGATCTGCTTTCCAGTTTCGAAGTATTTGCTTCATATATAGTTTATTTATTGTTTTCTTTTATGGCTTCTCTGTGGTATCGTAAACCTTTCTTAAGGCAGTCAATGCTTACTCATTGTTACTGTGTCCTTGATGTGGAAGTGCTGAGGTTACAAAGACAAATCATGTTTCCACCCTCAAAGAGCTCATATTCAAAGAGAGAAACTGACACCTAAACAACTTTGACAATGGGACTAATGCCATATTTACATTATGTATAGAAAGTACTGCAACTAACTTCTCTGAGAAGGAATAAAGTCTGCTGAAGTCCTGGAGAGTTTAGGGGAGGCTTCACTGAGAGGTAACCAGTACACATTCTCCAGACAGTAGGGGAGGTACATGAGTACAGCTATAAGGGGAACATGACGGAAATCTGGAAGCATTCATGTGCTTACTTTTTTAAAGAATTGCAAACGGTGGACACTGAGACTGGCAAGGTGGGAGACTAGATTAGTAGAGAATTTAATGGAGTGCTCAGACCAGTTTTATAATGGGATATAACCGGCTCAGAGCCGTGCTTTCTGAAAAAGTTCTCCGGGGTCTACATGCCACGTGGACTGGCATGGGGAGAGATGAGAGGCAGCACAGACAGTTACCTGTCTGTATGGATGGAATGTGAGAAGTATTTTAATGTCATAAATTTCCTGTCACTGGACTCCTCAGGCCCTCCTACTGACCATAATAGTTTTGAGAACTTTAAGACTTCGTTATTTTAATTCCCTGTATTTTTGTCATAAGATGACATTTTTAGCTTCGAAATATAACATCAGGAGTGTTATTTTTGAAAGAGAAGATGCCCCACTAAACATATTCCTTTGTTCCTCTTTAATAGGCTGCCGCTGATGAATACAACAGACTGAAACAAGTTAAGGGAGTAAGTATCCCAGATTGTAAGATTCTTTTAGGAAGAACTTATCTATTATGTGCTTTTCATTTAACCTTTAGAGTGACTCCGGATACCTTGTCACACATGCACTGATTATAGGCAAAAGGCCCTATAATTGCAAGATGAAAACTGTAAGAAGTTGGAACCTTAATTTCCGTTGTTTGCAACTACAACCAGCACTGATGCAAAAAAAAAAAAAAAAAAAAAATTTCCTTTTTTTAAAATAAAAAAAAACACAAAAAAAAAAAAAAAAAAAAAAAAAAAAATTTGTGTTTTTAGTTTGAAGTATACATACAGAAAAATACACAGATCATAAGTATACAACTTGGTAAATTTTCACAGAGCAACCACACACCTTTGTACCTGGCATCCCGATAAAGAAATACATTTCGTAGTACCCCTTGTATGCTCATCCAATTTTTACACTCACCCCAGAGGTAACCACCATCCTAAGTTCTAACATCATGTATAAGTATTGCGTGTTTTGAACTTTATATAAATGGAATCATACAGTATGTAATTTGTGTGTGATTTCTTTTGCTCAGTGTTGTTTGTGAGAATCATTCAGATGGTGGCCTGAAGCAGTGGTTCATTTTTAAGTGTGTATGCACACAGGCACACATTTGCTAGGTATATACATAGTCATGAAATTGCAAGGTCATTGAGCAAGTGGGGATCCTGCCTTGGGTAGGGACTGTCAACAGCATCCCTGGTTTGTGCCACTTTACATTCCTAACAAGCAGTGTAGATTCCTGTTGCTTCATATCCTTGCCAACACTTGGCATCATCAGTCTTTTTTTTTTTCTCCTTTGGCCACACAGCGTGGCTTGTGGGATCTTAGTTCCCCAGCAAGGGATCGAACCTGGGCCCTCAGCAATAAAAGCACAGAGTCCCAACCACCCACTGGACTGCCAGGGAATTTTCCCAGCATCATCAGTCTTTATTGCCTTAAAACATTTTTGGTTTTTAAAAGACCTTATATTAATTTTTAAAACTCCAGAATCATTAATTTTTTTTTTGGCTGTGCTGCGCAGCTTGTGGGATCTTAGTTCCCAGACCAGGGATCAAACCCGGGCCCATGGCAGTGAAAGTGCCGAGTCTTTTTTTTTTTTTTTTAACATCTTTATTGGGGTATAATTGCTTTACAATGGTGTGTTAGTTTCTGCTTTATAACAAAGGAAAGTGCTGAGTCTTAACCACTGGACCACCAGGGAATTCCCAGAACTTCATGAATTTAAATTCAAGAGTTTAAAAACGTACATAGTACAATTTCCTGTCTCACTCCCTATTTACCCCGTTTCTTTATTCTAAGTAACCCCATATCACCAGTTTCTTGTTTTACTGATTTTTACTTTTTTTTTAAATCGTGTTTTAACAAAAAAAGGCCGATAAATTTTCTTGGTCACTTTACAAATCATTAGAAATGAGTGTATCCTTTGTAAAACTCAGGTTAGAAGATATGATTAAGAAAAGAGAATCAGCTGCTCATGTGGTTAGAGATAACTGCCAGGTGCCTTATGCATGTTACTTCATTTAACACTCCCTGCAATTCTATATGACTAATGCTCCCTTTTTGTTGTTCACCTCTGCCTTCCCAGCAGCTAAAACATAACTCGTTTTTAGTTTGTTAAATTTACGCGATTCTTTTTTCTTTCCTCCTTTTTTAGTCTGCAGATTACAAAAGTAAGAGGAATTATTGCAAGCAGTTGAAGAGCAAATTGTCACACATTAAGAAGATGGTTGGAGATTATGATCGACGGAAAACATAGACAGCAGATGCCACATTGTTAGGTTAAGAAGTATCTGACTGACATCTCTGCAATGTTATCAGGAGTCAAAATGACTTTGGACTCTAACCTGGGAGGCCAAATCTTTGTGATCATTACAGAGTTTTGGTAGTTTTAATATCATCAGTATTGAATGATATCATCAGTATATCATCATTTTATAAATAGCTTTTGATAATCGACTGGGCTGAACACTCCAAGTAAGGACTTTATGCTTTAAACATTGGTTCTTGTATTAAGAACTTTTGTTTGAGGTTTTTAAAGCTTTAAGGAAGGTCCTGGAGTACACTGTGCTGTGAACTTTCACACCCTAGGCAATCAGGTGTTAATACCTAAGTATGCTCATTGGGTCTTGTAGGGGATAGTTTAATTCTCCCAGAATTCTCCCTTCAGATAACTGTTACTTATAATCATTTATTTTCAGATAAGGAAACTGGGGCCCTGCAATAAAGTCTCTGAAGTGAAACTGCTTGTTGCCTAGCTTGCAGTTTTGGTTAAGTCTGTTTTATGACTCCATTGATAAAGTCCCTGGCCTTTTCCTATTTTAACTACTACGGATACTGAGTCCTACCAGCCTCCATATTGATTTTTTTCTGTGTATAAATGCTGAAGAGCTTTTTATTTCATGTTATCCTGGTAATAAAGATCATGTAAAAGTAACAAATGTGTGAAATTTGAAGATTGTAAATATATGTTTACCTTTTAAAAATCAAAGTTTAAACCTACTGGTTAGAATTTTGTTGCGTATTTTTAAATGCTTTTTGTCTTTTATGGTTTACATGCTTTTTTTAAACCAACTAGCCTTTTCCATTATATCAAAGTATCCAATTACAATTCAATTGTGACTTGAATTGTATCTTATGGGAATATTCAAGTTTTGTACATATTTTATAATTATTAAAACTGGTGTTTTCTTTCCATAATGTACCTTTTTTTTTTTTTTGCGGTACGCGGGCCTCTCACTGTTGTGGCCTCTCCCGTTGCGGAGCACAGGCTCCGGACGCGCAGCCTCAGTGGCCATGGCTCACGGGCCTAGGCACTCCACGGCATGTGGGATCTTCCCGGACCGAGGCACGAACCCGTGTCCCCTGCATCTGCAGGCGGACACTCAACCACTGCGCCACCAGGGAAGCCCCATAATGTACCTTTTTGATGTCATTAGTGCTGTTAATACTAAGCTATGGAAAACTACACTCAGAAGTTGTATCTGTTACTGTTTTAAACTGTTTTGGGTGCTGTGCTGGTTGGTAGCTTCCTAAATCCTTTGGCTAACAGAAGGCTGATTTGTCTGGAAATGGAATCCAATATCATAAAACACCAAATTATTTCAAATGGTGCCCTTAAATCTCAGCTTTTTTTTTAATTCAGTTTTTTTCTGGTAAAGTAAAATTAGCTGATAATACTGGATATATAGCTAACCAAGTTGATTGTGATTATCCCCTCAGTTTGGAACTCTCATTTAAGTATATTGTTTTTAATATATAAGTCTGAATCATTTTCCAGAGATAAAAATAAGGTTTCCATTATAACGCTGATACAGTTCTTCAAGTTGAAGAAATTCTTAATTTTCTATGTGCTGTTCATACTACAAAAGGTGATAATTAGTTTATGTTTTTCATGTCTTTTGGATTCATACAAAGTGTTAAGGACTCTCTTGAGCAACTTAATTGATTTTTATATGTCTTAAAATTTAAACTGAAGTCAGCACACTTAGTTTATGAAGGCAAGTTTGCCAGTGTTGTGACTGAACAAGACCATTCAGCTAAATGCAGAAAGTCAAATAGCATGAGTTTGTGCTGTAAAATTGTGCCATAAAATTGAACTTTGAAAGTTAAAAAAATCATTTTTCAAATGTACTTACATACATTTGATCTCTGAGCCAGGATCAGGGTGGTTCTTTTGGTGGTGGGGGGGTGGCTTTTTTTTTTTTTTTTTGTCTGTGCCATGCGGCTTGTGGGATCTTAGTTTCCTGACCAGGGATCGAACCCGTGCCCCCTGCAGTGGAAGCGTGGAGTCCTAGCCACTGGACTGCCAGGGAATTCCCCTGGGGGGTTGGCATTAACCATCGGGACATAACTTTGAAAAACCACTCAGGCAGTTTTCTAGTCTGGAAAATAGAGATTTAGATTAGATTTAAGAGGTCTCTTCCATCTCTGACCTCCTGTGGTTGTGTTTGCATTCTGCTTTCTGCTATTAACCATTGTTCCAAAGATTTTGTTGAAAAAGCATGTGGTTCGGGATTTCCGTGGTGGTGCAGTGGTTAAGAATCCACCTGCCAATGCAGGGGACACGGATTTGATCCCTGGTCCAGGAAGATACCACATGCCGCGGAGCAACTAAGCCTGTGCGCCACAACTACTGAGCCTGCGCTCTAGAGTCCATGAGCCACAACTACTGAGGCCAAGTGCCACAACTACTGAAGCCCATGCACCTAGAGCCTGTGCTCCGTGACAAGAGAAGCCACTGCAATGAGAAACCCATGCACTGCAAAGAAGAGTAGCCCCTGCTCGCCGCAACTAGAGAAAGCCTGCATGCAGCAACGAAGACGCAATGCAGCCAAATAAATAAATAAAATAAATATGGCCAGTTATACCTACTTTCCAAAGCCAAATGGTGAAAACAAGTTTTTAAAAGCAAACTGGGTTTTAAAAGTACATGTATCATCCCAATCCCATATGTTTGGTGTATGCTGGGTACAGCTTTATGGTGTAAATTCTTTTTAGTTTTAGGCAGATAATTCCCTTATGTTTGGCATTGTGATAACTCATAGATAATGAACAAATGCTTGAACAGATAGTATAGAGTTTACATATCAAGTTAAAGATTATCAGATACTCTTATAAGCAATTCTGGAGGGTTTTAATGAGGCTTGAATGATTGAGGTTCCATCTAAAGGTATTGCAATAGGCAAGCTCATCTCTCCCAGTTTGAGAAGTTGTACACTTTGAATTTCGGCTTGATTCCACTGGCTGAGCTGTTTGTGAATTTCCTAACTCTGGATTGTGTCCAGCCACCCATGGGCAGAGAACAGATTGTTCCATTCTTCATAGTTGTTGCTTAGTTTTACAAATTGAAACGTTTGACTAGGTTATATCATTTCTTTATTCTACCACTTTGTAAGCAATTAAAATATTGGGTGGGTCGTAAGATCACCATGGATTTATGCATTTTTGTTTTGTTTTGCCTTAGTACCATTCCTACTTGACTCAAGATCTGAGACAGATATATTCAGAGGAGAGTAAACTTTACAGTTGGGAAAAGCTTGAATGATTCGGCCTCCAGTCCACAGATAATGCTTTAATTTAAATTCATTGGGGAGTCCTCTGTCCTTTTCCTGTTTTTCCACAAAGTCTTCCCAGACAGGTGGATAGTAAACATAAATGAGAAACTTGGGGCTTGGGGTTGTAGCTGTTTGTTCTATAGGTGTGAGTCCTGTCTTGGAACAGAATGGCTAATCAGAACAGAAGGAAAGAAAAGTGTGGGGTTTCTGGAAGGAAGGGAGGGAGGAAGAGGGGATACTAGGAAGGAAGTAAAAGGAAAAAGGGTGGAGTTTGTGTGTGAGTCCTGTAAAGGAGTCAAAGATGTAGGGGAGGCAAAGATGGAAGCCAACTGGCACTGGGAATCAGCATTGCTAATTTCCCCTCCTCACCTTGCAAAGACAACATCAGAACTAAACAGTGAGACCTTGTCTTCTGGGGAGAAATAAAAGGACCTGGTTATGGAGTTGCAAAGTTGTGATGCGCAAGCCCTGTAGGGTAGGTGGAAATAATCCCATCTTATAGATCAGACTTGGGATGTGACTTGCTTCAGGTCACCCAGCTAGTGTGGCAGAGCCTGATTTTTAATCCAGGTCTGTTCTTTCCACTACTGTGCAGGATGGCTTCTGTTTATGTTTTTGAGGGGGAAGAATACATGGAAAGATTTTAGTACCAACAAAACAATATAGGCAACAGAGGGGAAGCGTGCGGTGATGGGGAACCAAAGAGGTTCCGGCAGTGCCTTTCTCCTTTTCCTGGGCATAATCCTTTTCTGAGGCTCTGGGGTGCCTTGCCTCTCCATTTCTCAGGTATGGGAAATGCTAGTAATTCTGTGTGTATTAGCAGATATCTCAAACAACTTGTTCAAAATTGAACTGATCTTACCAACCCCCCACCCTCTCAGTAATTGCAACTCCAGCCTTTCAGCTGCTCAGCAACAAACTTTGGAGTCACTGATTTTTTTTTATAACAAACATCCAGTCTATTGACAAGATTGAGAATCCAGCCGTTTTTCACTAGCTGCACTGCCATACTATGCTAGTCCAAGCCATCATCATCCCTTCAAAGTTCTGACAGTGCTTCGAGACCCGCACTTCTGATTTCAGTTGCCACCACTCATCCCCTGCTTGCCCATACCGTCCCTCAAACACACCAATGTGCTTCCACCCCAGGGGCCTTTGTACTTGCAGCTCCCTTTCCCTGGAGAAATCTTTCCCTAAGTATCAGCACGGTTAACTCCCTCCCTCATTCTGGTCATGGTTCGACTGTCTTCTTGGCATGCGGGATCTTATTTTCCCCACCAGGGGTCGAACCTGTGAACCCTGCAGTGGAAGTCTTAACCACTTGACCACCAGGGAAGTCCCCTGACCACCTATTTTTAAACCACACACTTTCCCCCTTCCATGCTTAATTTTTCTCTATGGCACGATCACCATTTGATACAGTATGTTTTTCTTCATAACTGTCATGAGGGCAAGGATTTTTGTCAGTTTTTCATTTCTATTTCCTCAGTGCTTAGAACTGTACCAGGCCCCAAATAGGTGCTCAATAAATATTTGTGTCATTTAGCAGGAGCAGCAGAGCAGTCCGGGAAAACCGCTGCACAGCAAGCTGGCTCAGCTGAGGCTGCTGATGTGGTCAGAGTCCTTCATGCTAACCTTTTGTAAATAATAAAATCAAGTCTCAGATGCCGGATGGACGGCTACCAGGCCTCCAACTTTCCAAGGGCGAATGGCCACCACTCTTCCCGCCTCCTTGCGAAGAGCTGGAAGGAAGCAGGACGTCCCTCCCCGCGAAGTCAACAAGGTTGCTCCGGCCTGCGAGCGCCGCGCTCCGGCCACCACCGCTCCCAGCAGCCGGAACGTTTGCGCGTCGCCACCGTGCGCGGCGGAAGGACTTCGGCGGCGCCCTCAGAGCAAATTGTGCAGAGCTTCCGGCAGAGCGGCCCTCAGCAGGACAGGTGAGGCCGCGGTAAAGGTTTGCCCGAATCCGAGGCGTGGATCCGAGGCCTGGGAAGTGTGGCAGCGGGAGGGGCTGCGCGGCTGGAAGCGGGGATTGAATGGCCCAGAACCGCCTCGCAGGGAATGAGGATGTGTGGGAGGGGGAGGAGGGCAAATTCCGTCTAGGGAGCTGCATAGAAGCATCTGGGGCAGCAGTGTGGAGAGTGGCTCTCCTGCCCTAAGGCAGGGCACGAGTTTGGGGACTTGTGGTCCTGGGTTCTAGCTCGTCACCAGCCTCCAGCTGTGTGGCCTCAATAGAGTTACCAGCCTCTGACCCTTGAGTTCCACACCTGAAAAGCAGGACAGTTATCACCCTTGCCTGTCGCACAGCGCTTGGCAGGGTTAGGTGTGAGGGAAAGCTTCATAAATTGCGATGTGTGGTGCAGATCTCATTTGTTTACGTGTAGCTTTCTGAGCTCATGTGAAGGAATCATACCACCAGCCTTCCCCAGGGGGAAGTGGCTTTCCTGGGGTTGGATTCCCAGCGATATTTGTAAGAAGATGGAATATTGGGCAGTCATAGGCAGTTGGATATGCTGACCTAAGAGGTTACCAAGTACAGTTTCCTCCAGGCTGCATAAATCCCTTCTCTATTAACTGCATGCATTGTAAACATCCAGCTTCCCTTTGAACATCTGCAGTTATGGGGATCTTAATACCT